CTTCCATTTTTATCCCATTTACCGCCAAACTTTTCAAAATTCCCCGGTAAGACAACGAGACTGCTTATCCCTGCAAAAGTAACTGTGGATTAATAATTGATATTTTTAAGCTTGCAAATGAAGTTTACCTGAGAAAACTGTCAACATGTTGATTATTTTTAAGGCTCCTTAAATCAGAAAAAGAGATCTGCTTTGACGTTCAAGGGATTTTATTCCCGGTGTGACGTTCTTTCCATGTTTTTTTTTTTCTAACCACCAAAACTGTTTCCATGACTGCTTTTTACACTTGAACAAAAAGTCTGGACTGTTGTATTAGCAGCAGTGTGCTAAGACTGACCCAGGATGATGCTTTCTGTACACCCAAAATTTAGGAATAGAGGTAGCCTATTCACATTCGAGGGGACAGTTGCAATTGTTTTGGGTGATCTGAAGCTAAGACGGTGCTCATTTAGAGGTATTTTTTTCTTCTCTCTTTTAAAAAGGTCTCTGAAGTTAGGGGTAAGTATGGCTATGTTAGAATTTGATGCTGCTTAAGTGGCATGTTATTTACCAAGTTAATCTTCCACTGCTCTCTCACAGATATATGTGGGAATTCTGCTGGGCAACTCATTTGCCTAGCAGAATGGAGAGGACCCAACAACATAATTAATACTTAGTCCACACCCTTAACCCTCTGGAATTGCTGCAAAGTTCCCTTGAAAAGGCCCAGTGTTCTGGCTTTGAAAGACAATTCTCTCCACCCATTGTAACCACTTATAATCAGGTGGCTTTGTGTGCTCCCAAGCTGTCTTCCCTTTCCTAGCTATTTTTTTTCTCTCCATGTCCCAGAAGTGAGTGGGCTCATCTACTCGTAACCCTCACCCCTTTTAAGCTTTTTATCACTTTTGAAGATATGGTCACAGGCTTCTTCTCATTTTTATGGGGAATATATATCAAGGGAATCTACACATAGTCCATTTTGAAAATTTTTATATTTAAATAAAAGCAGATTCAAACCCTAGGTTTAGACTTTAAAGGCCATCCTTTTGACATGTTCTGGTATTGCAGTCTAGAATTTTATTCTTGCTTCTTAAATGATAGTATCTCATTTCAAAATCATCTCCAGCTGACACTGTATTTCATTCTTTTCTTTCAATTCCTTCTCAGAGGCAGCAATTCCCATTATATATTAATGTTTAGATTGAATACAAATCCAAGGTTGTCTACTTTTGAGGCTACTGGCCTTGGGCAGATGATTGACCAAGTCAGCAAATCAATGTTCTCAACCCTAAGTAGGAATTATCATAAATGTACTATGGAGAAAGAATGAGTTATCTTTCTTAGAGCACTTTATTAGTTTCCTTGGTACAGAGAGAATAGTCAATAACCAGCATTGGTTTTTTTATTCTCATTGTCTTTAAACGCTGACTAGACAGCCAGATGTTGGTGGTACACGCATTTAATCCCAGCACTCAGGAGGCAGAGACAGGTGGATCTCTGTGAGTTCCAGGCCAGCTTAGTCTCCAGAGCGAGTGTCAGGATAGGCTCCAAAGCTACATAGAGAAACCCTGTCTTGAAAAACAAAAACAAAAACCAAAACACTGGCTAGACAATGTAGCCCCTCACTGCTAAGCACTTCATTTAGTCCTTCATTTTCTAGTTTTTACTTTTCTTTTTGTGACTGTGTCTTATGTACTTGGTCTCAAGATTAATTCTTTTTCAGTCAGTGGCACTGAAGACAATGAATGACACACACCCTATTTTCCTTGTTGCTTAGACACTTGCTGCTCTTGATGAGGTTTTTTATTTTTTTTAATTCTCTGCCCTGTATTTGAGACACTAATGGATAAGGACCAAAGGACTTGGTTTTCAAGACAGCGTTTCTCTGTGTGTAGCCTTGGCTGTCCTGGATCTTGCTCTATAGACCTGGCTGGCCTCAAACTCATAGAGGTCCACTTGCCTCTGAATCCCAAGTGTTGGGATTAAAGGCGTGTGCTACCACTTTCTAAAACATAGAAAACTTTAGACACCATTTTGCCCAACTCCTTATTTACAGGCTTAGAACATTAAGACTTAGAGTTGTTTAATGCTGTGTTCAAGGACACACTGAGACCTCCATAATCTTCATTGCAGCTAACACAACACTGGGCAGGGGTGGGTGGGGTTTTTATTCAAGAAATGATAATATAACTCTATGCTTTTCCATCCCAAGGAGAGGGAGATGGCTCCTCCACCAGAGTCCTTTTGGTGGGAGAATCTTATATCTTTGTGTTTATATATAGTCCTCAATCACAATGTAACTTTAATATACATTTCATGAATGAATGTATATTCTCTGTAGACCTAGAAATCCAGTACATGATTGTATAAAGTTGAATTTTCTTTTTTAATTGTGGAGTTTTATTAACTCTGAACTCTGGTAATTTCATGTAATATATTTTGATGGTATTAGCTCCCCGCCCTCTCCCCAACTCCTCCTGGATCCACTCCTCCCTGCTACCTGCCCAATTTCATGTCTTTTTTTTTTTTTTTTTTAGACTACTTACCAAGTCCACTTGATGCTACTGATGATGCCCATGTACTCATGGGTGTGGGGGCCACCCAGCATGGTTTGACCTACCACAACCTTAAAGAGAACTGACTCTCTCCCTCAGAAGCCAGCAGCTGTCAGTAGCTTCTGAGTTAGGAGTGGAGGCTGGACAGCCCCTCCCCCTCCCCGCTAGAACACTGATGTTGGCTTGATCTTGTAAAATTAGCATTTTCCTAAACTCTTTCTACGAGCCAGGAACTGCTTTAAAGCATGTTCCGTGCATCATCTCTTTGAAACCTTCCAATAACCTTAGGAATAGGTACTCCTGCCAGCATTTTGCAGAGCCATCAAAAGATGGCTACCTTGCCAAAATCTCATCGCTGGTGCTTATGGGAATTAGGATGCAAACTCAGGCCTTCTGCCCTCCAGGCTGGTTTCTTTGGGTCTCTAGAGTTGTTCATGTACCCTATGCAGCGAGGAGGGTGTTAAAGAATGAGAATTCTAAGCATTGCATGTGTTCTGTTACCTTGTATTTCTCCACTGACATTAGGAGTGGGTTCATCAGAGTCTGTATTTGTGGTGCGACACCACACACAAAATAAAGCAGCTTTCAGGTAGGTGAGGAACAAGGTAACATGAACGGACTGAGGCACTGGCTTTTTTAAAAATATCTATAAGTTAGGAAAGAATTCAAAACATGCAATTAAAATTATTTTGTTCAGATACAACGGATTTCTAAGGCTAAAGGTTTAAATTCCTTAAGTGATTAACCTGGCTTTGCTTCATCTATTTCTATTTTGCTTATAGGACACAAAAAGCAGGGCCACATTTATTCAGTGTCAATATGCTTACAGCAGAACTTTTTTTACAGCCAGCATGATTTTCTAGTCTTGGAGGACATCTCTAGACAGAGGGGATTCTAGAGCAGGTCAAATCTTGAGAGGAGAGCCAAGTAGAGCTAATAGGATGGGTGGCCATGGCAGGCACAGAAAGAGGGTTTCTAACCTAGCCATTTACCATGGTGAGGATTTGTCTTTCTCCCATGCCCCGTGCTGACATTCCCTGAGAGTAAAGGTTTAAATGGTCCACCCAATAATTTTCCTCACCACGATGGAACTAGTGTTACTTTGGATTCATCATGAATTTGCCTCTATGGCCTGATCTTAGAGAAGAACATTTTGTGTTCCTTGTTGGGAAAAAACTAAGTGATTCTTTCTCAAGTCAAAATATTGCTTAGCTTGTGAGCATCCTAACAGCACTCAGCCCAGGATGCCACCCTGTGTTATCCAAGAGCTCCTAATGCTATTGCCAGGCCTAGGGTAATTATGTTCAACAGAGGAATGACAACTTAAACACAAAAGCCTTTGTGGATGAAGATTATACCCCTTTTGTCAGTCTCATAATTATATGTGCCTGCTCTTGACAGATTTTGATAAAACCAGCAGAAAATGTTAAGAGTACTGTCACTAACCCATTATTTTACAGAGGAGGAACTTGAAATTTGGGGTTAGATAATGTTTGCAAAGTCATAGCTATCTGGAAGTGGATGGATGTATAACCATGATCATTGATAAAATAACATTTCTTTTTAGTTTCGAAAATAATTTGCCAGCACTCACTGTATGTTCGGCACCCTGTGTGATTCCGCTTTTCCCTTGCTTTATTTCACTTCGCTCTACAACTCAGGGCTCGACCTTCTTTGCTGTTGTCGTTATCACTTTGATGGGCAAACTGATGCTAAGAGAGGTCTGGGGGCTTTGAGGTTGTAGAAGTCATATTGCCAGCAAGAGGTAGATGCTGGGAGCAATACGCCACAGCAAAGCACTAGACCCTTTAAACAACAATGGTTTTAAAGCCAGGCTCCTTTTCGTTTGTAGCGCCGTTTCTGATCAGCAAGATAGGTTCTTCACTTTGGTCATGAATCAGAGTTTCCAGTCCAGTCATTCATAGAAGGGCTTGAGCAATAAAATAGGTTGGGGGAGGAAACGGAAGTTTAAACACTAGTTCCAAAGAGGGCCCTTCATTGCCATGAAGTGGAAACAGATGGTGGGGAAGAGAAAGAGCACTGGCCTGGGTGTTGAGAGCAAGCACTTTTGGGGCTTGGCTTTGTGGAAATGCAACCTAAGGATTTGCTTTGTTTTGACACCCTTGCAGGAGCATCCCTCATGAGCGGAGGATACTAACCATCCTGCAGTGGCTTTCGCTGCCCGACAATGAGAGGTATCTGTTCTCATGGGTCCTTTCCTTTCTTCAGTACATTTCCATCTTGGGCTAGAGCTGGACAAAACACTAGATGGCCTATGACATAGAAGCACAGCCAGGAACTGATGTTATTAAAAGCTTTGAGGTAATTAAGTGTTATTTCCTTAACCAGTTTTGAGTTACTGGGGACCGTTGCATTCCATGGATTACTCCAGCTGTTAATCTTGGTGACATCAGTGGACCCTAAGTGAGTTCTTAGCTTTGAGAAAGGAATCGATCCGCAGAAGCTCAAGGATTGAAAGGCATTAAGACCGAGGGCTCCCTTGAATACAGTCAGTTCTTCCACTCTGCACATTGCAAGGCCTGAGGAGATGGCCACTGTATTCTGCTATTGAAGGATTAGAGTCCCCAGTGATGCTCAGTGGTATTTTTTTTTTATTGTGATTTTTAATCCTGTGAAGTGATAGTCCACTGGGGAGTGGTATGGAGGTGTAGAGTGATGTGTGAAGAAGTCATGGAAAGCAAATGTTTCCATGGTAACACTAGTAATGTGGGGAGTGGGTGGGAGAGATAGATTAACTAAACCTGAAGGAGTTTGTTTTTAAATTAGTTTCATTCAAAGTGATGGGTTTCATTATGATATGTATATATGATATAT